GGGCGCCCCCCCCCCCACCCCCCACCAGCCCCCCCCCCCATTTTAATACTGCTAGATACGCCACTGCATACTGGACCTTATGAAATGCCCCCCTACGTTCCTCCACCGTTGTCCCTAACGGCACTTGGTCTCGCACCCACTTCGCTTGCTTGCTTAACTTTCATTGGTCTTTTTTATTGGCACATAGAGACTGCTTTATTATGCGCTTTATAAATCCATTGATTGATTGATTGATTGATTGATTGATTGATTGATTGATTAATTGCAGAGGGCAGGAGAGGAGAGGAATTTCCCCTGTCTGTGACAGACCTGGACCCTTCGTCGTGTCGTCCGACGCCACGACGAGGCCGTCGTCAAACAAAATTCGTTTATCTAACACGTTATTTTGATTGCCTATCCCGAATATTGTGGTCAAAGGCAAAATTTTGGGCCTACAAATCCATAAAAACTTTTCCCCATGAACGTTGAATTTTTATCCCGGGACCCTGATCGAGGTTCTAGTCGTCCTCTTAGTTCGTACCCCGCTGTCGCACACGTCAGACCCCTCGCAAATCCTGGAGCACCAATGTGGCAATCAAGGTTCAGATTGAAAGCAAACACAATGATAAAGGCCTATCTTTAACCTTTGTTTAAATGGCTATATTCCTACCCATCACTTTCTAGTGTTCTTCTCAGCGCATCCCCGTCACCTAGGAGATCTGAAGAATCAACCAACGGCAGCAATTCTTCGCTGTCATATTTCAGACGTCTATTTCCAATCAATACCAGTCTCTCACTCGCAGGAACACTAGTCATATCTTTCAATGATGCTAGAAGCTACGGTATCAAAACTACGGAAGAAGACCGAAAGGGTCTATTTTGATCATAAAATACCCACTATTGCTCTTTGGACTTTGATTCTTCGTGGCATTCAGATAATGTAATATACTAATAGCTGAATTAATTATTGTTGTACTATTAGGCCTACGTCATACAATTTATCTTGTATGAAAGGTAAGCCTCTGTAATACAAAAGGTGTATTAGATGTCCAACATCAAAGATAATTAACCGAAGAGCCAGTTCATAAATTTGTAATAATTCACAGAGAAACAATTGTAATGTTAATCTCGGTTTCCATACAAATCCCTAGAAGTTATCGCCGACTTCTTTGGGAACGTTGATTGGTCAGTTGAATCAGGAAGGGTTCCCGATTGCGTCGGTGCCAGTACGCAGTGCAAGGGTTGCAGTGTAGCGATTGTATGGAAACCGTGCTTTGTGTAGGCCTAATACACTGCCGGGGAATATATTTCCTGCTCATTTGTCTTTATTTTCTATCTATAGTGGAATGTATGTAGTAGACCTTAGTGCCAAAAGCCTTGTTTCCATAAATCGCTACGAGAAAATTCCCCGATTCGACCGACAATATCAGCGTCATCGAGATTTTTAGGGAGCTTTCAATATTGCACGACGACGGTAGGACGTTGGACGTAATGACGTCACCAAAAGTCATCTGCGCATGCGAGAACGTTACGTTCTCCTCGTCGCGTGAATTCTGGACGCAATCTAGCCAAATCTACGTGTGCAGAGAATGTAGGACGACGTCCGACAGGACGATCACGCATGATCGATTCCGTTCTGCGTCGCGTCATCGCGCAAAACGAAAGCTCTCTATTTATAAGCATGACATTCTCATTTAAGTTCAAAATAATTCTGACTCAATTCCAAGTTTAACAATCTTTAATAACAAACACCTTAATACTTTGTTTACATAAAGACATACAACATAAATGTAAAACACTAAAATACTTATAAAATACTGAAAAAGTAATACAACAAAATATTTATCAAATTAAACAAATAACTCTAAAAATTTGACTATAGTATTTCACAGTTAACTCTGGCTTCCATAAAATCGCTACTGTTGCTACTGTGTTTCACTGCAATCATTGTGATCCCAATTAATTTTTGTATTATTTTGATGTTCAAATCTTTTAACCGTTTTTTATATATATATTTGTTTATGATTTTTTTCTAATTAGTTTCTCTAAATTTTGTAACTGTTTTTTAACATGTTGGAATTAACATGAAATTGACCGACCGACCAATCAGTGTTAGCAAAAGCTGTGTGTAGCGATTTTATGAAAACTATTTAGTTGACGTACTAATAATTAAAACTTAAGATTATATACTTTGATAAAAATGATACAAAAGATGTAAAATTGTACAGCAACATGAAGTTTTTTAAGCGAAAACAACAACACACTGGAAACTAAAGTCTATAGTAATTATATTATAAATTGATAAATATATTTCTCTCTTAAAGACAACCAGTAATACACATAATATTAAAATACCCAATGCTTACCAGAAAAGCATGTACATATTAATAATATTGAGTCTAAAAATGACTACACTAATTTCATAATCATTGAATTTTCAGGTCTGAGAAGACAGCTTATTTGCATTGCAAATACTTTTAATTATTCTTGCCTTATATTCACTTAACCTATGCCACACACAGGCATTTCGGACTAGAGTATCATCAAATAATTAAAGAGCGCCCTCAACTTGGTACAAGAAGTTCATATGCAAACATCAATGCAGATAAACTCTGCATTTTACATTGTTTGATATTTGCATAGCAAATGTTAACATTTTCTTCAGATTTATAAATGTATACATTATGATACAAAATAGTTTATTAAATTTCATAATTCTATACTTATCTATACCCTCTATTTACAAATGTGTGATTTGTCCATATAATATATGAGCATGATGTCATATCACATCCAAATATAGGAAAATCACAATGGATATTTACAGAATAATCTAATATTAACATTACCAGCTTGTATTATTTATTAGTCAATACACTAAAACATTGAAAAAAAACCCCTGGGCTTCTTTTTTTAGGACCTTTTATAGGTCCTAATAGGCTTCTTTCCAAGATGGGCTTCTTTTCAGATTACTTTTGCAAAACTGAAGAGCAGCTTCTTTTCAAAATAAAAGCTGCTAAAAAAGATACGCCTTCTTCATTAAACAGCTTCTAGGAATTAATTGAATGCATGCACGAAGTCTTGTTGACCCAATCCAGAAGTTTCAATATAAATAATTATGTGGAAATCATTTTAACCATGCTTCAATAAAATAATATTGATACTATCAGATCATCAAAGATAAACTCAGTTGGAATAGTAATAATGATAATAACAATAATAATTTATAACGCGCCAATATCACTAAATCGAAGTATAAAAATCCAAGGCGTTCTGCATGTTTAGTTAATATAGAGCTCTTTATACTATTACACACAAAATGTTGTAAATTAAAAAAAAGACAAGTAAAATTTTAAAAACATGACTATCATAAAAAGAAGGCTTGATTAGACCCCATGGGCTTCTTTTCAAGATGGGCTTCTGTTTACAAGAATACTTTTGCAAATTAAAGGTGGGGCTTCAAATCGAGATGGGCTTCTTCTCGAGACTAAGCCCATTGGGCTTCTATTCAAGGTTTTATGGTATAACAACATATCCAGATAAAAAACTTATATCACTTGTTCTTTCACAAGGCTATTTGGGCTTATTATAATGTACAATTTACTTAAGAAAAATATCTACAAAACAAGCAAGATACATAGATGAACAATATTTTTATAATAAAGACTAGTGTCTCATAAAAACAAAGCTGTATGTCACAAAGTGATAAATGTGTTGCCAGGTGTTTTATGTGGAAATAGTACTTGAATTGTGATTATCTTGTATGTGATTATCTAGAATTTTGAAATGTTCAACGATGTTAAAATAGTACAGATTGGATAGGTGCATTATTGAATCTCAACCACACTCAACTGGAACAAAAACAGCAACATTGTAGCCATCGGAATGTAAACAAGCAACCCACTACAATCACTCACTTCTAAACGTAATGATCTGATGGCCTTCAGTGGCAATAAATGAATTTAAGAACCCATCGCTCTTCAACAAACCAGGACGATTTATTAGAGACCATCTCTGTTAATGGCCAAAAATGTAGCATGACCACAAATTTAGCTGACTCAGCTAGGCTGCCCTCTCTATAAGAAGTACATTATGTGTCTGCTAAACATAGGAAAATATATTCTTGTTCAAATTCTTAATTGAAACTTTGTAAATTACATATAAATAGCAGTTAAGCAATTAAAGTGTTAACATTTTCAAGGTTATAAATCTCAACAGGCCCATAGCCAGCATCACCAAGCTGGGGGGTGGAGAGGGGGTTTCTGGGCATATGGTTTCGAGGGCCCAATAAAATAAAATGTATATATTTAAGTGTAAAATAAAGAGGCGGTTTGGCGCAGTGGAAATGGTTTGGTTGTCCAAACTCGTGGTCTGGGTATCTATCATTTGCTTGTGTCCTTGAACAAGGCACTTTATCTACATTGTTTCTGTCTACCCAGCTGTATCAATGGGTACCAGCAAATTGCTGGGAGTAACCTGCCGTGGAACAGCGTCCCACCCAGGGGGAGCATTACACTCTTATCCACTTCACGCTTCTTGAAACTGGGGATAAGCTCCAGCCCTGAGTCCAGTAATTCGACAAGGATTTACCGTATTTTTTTAAAAGTTTAAAATAGCATACAAAAATAAATTTTAATACACGATGAAAGAATGTGCTCAGTTACAAATAGTAGGAGGCTTTGTTGAAGAGGGGTTTGCCAGAACCCCTAAAAAAAAAACCCCTTGGCTACAGGCCAGACCAGAATTTAAATTGTGATAAGGTTGTTTGTCTGGCTCTTCCCATGCCCACTAATGATAGACTTACAGACTGATCTTAAAACATCTGGCCTCTCCAATCCCTTTAAGGCATTCAAAAATGTTTCCATTGTTGTATCTGGTTGAGTGTGAAACATGTACTCAAATACAGAATCCATTTTCCCAAAAAAATTATCGACGATTTTACTATCTTCGACGAGCTTCAAGGCAAGATCTTTCCAATTTTGTACCATACTTCTGCTTCGGTCTGGATTCAGATCTATGTTTAGTTGCCTCTGCATATTTTGACTCATGTCACAGAGCATTTGACCTAATAAGAAGTTATACAGTGTCAGTTAAAACAATAATAATATAAACTATTTTCTTTAAAAATATTATACATAAGGATATAATATTTACAGCTTTTGAGCTGGCACCCCGCTAATTGTATTAAGAAAATAATTGTTGTATTGTATTGTTGATAAGAACATAGTACCGGTAAGATTTTTAAACATATGAGGCTGAGATTATCTGGGCAGAAAGAGGTCCATACTATTATAGAGGTCTATTATTATTACTATGAAAATTCATATTATTGTCATTATTATTATATTATTATTGTTGTTATTATTATTATTATTATTAATATTTTTAGTATCACTAGTGTTCATTATTGTTACCAATAATAATAATATGGTGGTGATGGTGATGATGATATAAGAATGACCTAAATTCTTTAAATTACAATTTTCATTATAATTATTAGCCATTACTTTTCTTACTAAAATATTATTGTTACAGCTGTATCTTAATTATTGATATACTATACTAAATGCTCATCGGTCAATTGATATTATACTATTGATAACTACATAATTTTATTGTTGTAAATCTGTTATGTTTCTGCATCATTATTGCATTATTACAATGGTGATGACTAATGTGGTAATATTCAAATAATATTCAAATTTACCATTACAGTGATATTGCTTTATTGGTTTGGTTAATTATTACCATTGTTCCCGTTTGACTATCATACTAATAATGTAATATGAAATGTCCTTTTCATATAATAAAGTACTGTATTAATGCTTTCATCAAAGTACCGTATTAATGCTTTCATTTATAATTAATTCTATTGTTATTATTATAAAAATGATAATAATAATTATTACTATTATTAATATTATTATTGTTATTATTAGTGTGTTACTATTATTATTACTGTGATATACAGTATTGTTACTGTTATCGATATCAAATCATTGTTACTCTTTTCATTATTAATATTAATATGTGGCAAAGACAAGCCAAACCAGTCACTCGTCGCAAATTGTGTTTCAGAGAAAATAGCCAAAACATGCTAGAATGTAAAATTTTTTTAATCTATTTTATTTCACTAAACTGAGGTTTATGTATCTATACATCATGCTGTGCTGTTATTTTTCCCAATTTCAATGTTAAAACAACACTTTTTAATGATTTTATGATAGTTTCTGCATGAGAAATGCCTGAAATCATAAACTTTGAAGGCTGATTTCTCATATATTGTTCTTCAAACAGCTGTACGCTTAAATGCTTGTAACTTCAGAAGGAAATGTCGGATTTGAACGATTTTTTAACCATTTTATAGCTCTTATTTCACTCTTTAACCCTGTTTTAATATCTCAAAATCGATTTTTGCGACGAGTGACTGGTTTGGCTGGTATTTGCCACATATTAATATCATTATTAATATTAATATAATACTACTGCTGATTCTACTTTGCATTTCGCCATATTTGTACTATTACCAACCATTAGTCATCAATCATAATTAGATTATATAATAATCTGACATATTTCTAGCTTATTGTAATTTAATCCTATTATGTTTTGTATGTATTGTAATAAATGTATATGGGTAAACTCTAATGTAAACTGTACTATCTGTACCCTGCCTGCTCATATTAGTTGTTCTTTTTCCACCAACTTATTCGGCCATGATTCTAACCCAACAAACTTTCACTGTTCAACATGCCTTAACAAAATATTCCCGTTTAATCACATAAAAAATGAAGAATTCAAACACGAAATAAAAAAACGATGACCATTTAATAAGCTTCTCTAAACTACAAAACTTAAAAATTAATCCATTTGAAATAAATAAAAAAACTGGTGACTACGATAAAAGTGATAACATATTAAAAAATCACAATTATAAATGCCAATACTACCTTAGTGACACGTTCAATGACAAAAAATTTAACAACAAACACAATAAAAACCTAAGTATAATACACATGAAATCCCACAGCCTAGCTAAAAATATAAACTCTATAACCAATTATCTTCTCACTCTCAATCATAAATTTTCAATTATTGGATTCAGTGAAACCTGGTCCGACAACCAAAACCTACCTCCTCCCCTTACCCACATTGATGGATACACTTTCATCACTGGGAATTAACCTAATGAACACAAATTAGAATGATGTGTATTCAAACAATTCTGTGAATGAATCATAAAAAATATATTCACAAATAAATTTAATATCTTATATGAAACTAAATTTCCAAAATTAAAGAAAAAAAAATAAATAAACGCAAATTAGATAAACCATGGAAAACAAAGGGAATAATTAAATCTATAAATACCAGAAATAAACTATATAAAGCATACCTAAAACATCCTAATACAACCAACAAAATTAACTATATTTCTCACAGAAATAAGCTAACATGTTTTATTCGAATATCGTGCAAACAACACTTTGTTAACAACTTTACCAGCTATAAAAATAACATTGCTAAAACATCCTTGAAAAAAAATATCACCGAAAAAAAACTCCTACTTACTTTGCAGACAACAATATACAAACTACTGACCCACTTGAAATAGCTAACAAATTTAACCATTACTTTGCTGAAATTGGGCCTATCTCGCCACTAAAATTCAATCTTCCCCAGAAAGCTTCACCAAATGTCTAAAACACCCAATTAAAAACTCGATATTCCTTTCGCCTACCTCCAGCAAAGAGATTCTTGATATATCAAATCTTAAAAATGGAAAAAGCCCAGGGCCTGCTGATATTGACCTTAAAGTTATCAAAGAAACTTCTCCCTTTATTGTAGGGCCGCCGCTAACCCATATTTTTAACTTTTTCCTCTCAACAGGCATATTTCCTTCTGCCCTTAAAATTGCTAAAGTTTTTCCTGTGTATAAAAAAGATGATCCACACTCATACTCAAATTATCGTCCAATCTCACCTACTGCCTTGTTTCTCGAAAATCCGTACAAACTCAACTCGAAACTCAATTCTGTACACCAGCCCACAACTATGGAACTCTCTGGAATACCTACAAATCACACCTCATAGATAAATACAAATCTAACCAAAGTCATTTCTTTATTTTTCCATACAAGTTTTATGACTAATTTCTAATATTGTCGAATAATCTTGCCCCTTGTTTTGTCCCCTATCCTCTTCAGTGTCTTGCATTGTTTTCTCATTCTAAGTGTTACTATTTATATTATTATTATTTATATTACTATTTATATTATTATTATTTATATTACTATTTATATTATTATTATTATATTATTATTATTATTATTACTGTCATTGTTATTTTCATCACTTACCTTGATTATTCATGATTGCTGGGGGTACCAGGCTTAAAGCATCTAAAGTGCTTATTGGTATCACCAGACATAAATGTATTGCCTTCAACTGTATGCTTTTCTCATGTATCATTACTTGTCATTGCATTGTGTAAATAAAATAGAATTGAATATTCTCAAATTCTCCTCGCCTCAGCCCCAACCATGTTGGAACTGAGGTGGTGTGAACACTCACGCAACCCCTACCCCCAAATCCTATATCCACCCCAGACACTACAGTTCCAAATTGAAAATCAAATATTAAATAAACATATTTGTTGGTGGTACCTCTGCAGGCTTTTAAAGCTTTCTCAAACAATTCCTCATCTGGTGTTTTAGTTGGCTCAGATTTTCTTGCAGTCACAGAAGTATGGGTGTTCTGAAACTAGAAAGTGAAAATAAAAACAGATTGTTTTGTTACCCTTATTAAATTGTACAAAGCTGATCATTTGGGACCCTCAATTCTCTATTGTATACCATTTTTTAAGGCTTTGGCAGGGCAAAACAGATCTTCTAGGACCCTTACACCAGTGGCGGCGCCAGCAGGGTGGCAGGGGGGGGGGGGCTTAAGCCCTCCCACCGGACAGGTCAAGCCGGTGCGCAGCAAAATAGAATTAAATGTGTTAAGAAAGCTCATTTAACTTGGACCCCTGAAGTCAGGTTGCAGTGCTCAATTAATTGGATGTCACTGTATGACATCTAGGGTTGCCGAGAGTGACCGAGGGCAGCTGTGCAGCTTGCTGCCAGTGTCCAGGACAAAGCCTCTGGAATCTACGGCCTTTTAACGGATTAGAGGACTAATTTAATCCAATGCTTACTTTCACCAGGTCATAAACACAGAAACATGAAAAGTAAAAGCTAATTTCCTTTTAATATTTTGTTTTTTATTTTTTGATTGATATTTTACCAACAGCCTCGGCCCCTGTCGGGCCCAGGACTCTTGGCGCCCACAAATTATCTAATTTTACCTTTGGTTTTGTAAAATTTACAGAGCCTCTGACTAGATTTATTTCAACACCTACAGGTGCTGACTGTGAGCGCTGGAGCTGAGGGCGTTTATTCAAGAGCGACACCTCTTCTCCACAAGTGTCACTGTCACTGCTTTCCTCAGGAATGGAGTCCAGTGTCCCTGTCCTACAAAATAATAACCATGTTTGTGAAAATGTGGGGAGTGGTATCAAGTGTAGGGGTGCTATGTAAAGATATTGTGTTTGGTACATCTAAAATGATGACACAATATTCCAGTATGTACAATTTGAAATCAAAATTAACAAAACACAAAAAATCGTAAATATAATAATGATATTTAATATAATAATACACTAAATAATGACATGAAAATAATAATAATCTTTTCAAATGGCTGGTACTCTTGTATTGTTTGTCACCTAAGTCCTGTCCAGATTATATTTGACAAAAACGTGATATGCCTAAATATGGTCATGATGACATCACATAATGACCATATATAGGCACACAATGACTATATATGGGCATACAACAGTTTTTTTTCAATGAAAATTTGATAACCTGTATAGAGCTTTAGATATATATTGATGTAAAGTGCTATCAAAAATTGTTGTTTAAAAGGCAACAATGGTGCCTGTAGTTCAATATTTTCCCAATTGTGCCCTCAAAACTTCACAATAGTTGCATATTATAAACTTAATTGAATTATATAAGTTAAAGTGCAATATTATACATACATAGCTGAAACCTTGGTGGTATGAGGGCAAATGCCACTTTCTGGATTACCAATGTTTTCATTTTTTTCAAAACTACCTATGATATAAACAATAATAATAAATAACAAACAAGCATTAGCAACTCAATGGTTTGTGGTAGTTTAAATTTAGATCAGTGTCATTATTAGCAACTGTTAATATTATCCTTAGTACAATGATCTTCTTGTTATTCAAACTTAAAAATGAACCAATCAGAAGATGGGTTATTAAATAGGTAGGACTAAGAATGTGCACATGTCTCACAAACATACAAGTATATGACTGTAACAATAGTAAATTAACTAGCAATGTACAGTATTATTAGGAGGCATGGGCATAGACTGGGGATATGCACCCCACCCCTTCCCATGTCAGCAAATTAGTTTTAAAGTTAAATACTAAAAATTAAATTTTCATTGGAATAAGGATTTAGTTTCTGCATTCTCAATTTTCGCACCCCCCAACTCCGTATTCTCAATTTTTACATCCCCAGTTCCGCATTCCCAATTGTCGCACCCTCCAGTGCTGCATTGGCAATTTTCGCACCCCCAGAATGAAACCAGACACCCCTGTGTTGATGTAGTAGCAGCAATAGTAGTAGCAGTTGTGCAATTGCTGTTTCTTCAACATCAGTATAAATAAATACTGTTGGCCAATCTTACCTTTTTTACAATTTCTGCATAAATTTAATGTTGGTTCGTATCCAGCTTTTTTCATGATTTTCTTAACCACAATATATAGAAAACCAGCCAAAATAATTGCAAACAAACTATAAAAGTTGCGAATAACCACATGATGTTTACCTACGAAAATAACAAAATTAAAAAGAACATTAGAAATTTTAATTTAAATGTGAAACAACTCGTGATAGGGCCTTTTCAATTGCTTCACCTAGGCTTTGGAATAGTCTTCCCAGCGAGTTACGACATGTTTTTTGTTATCCTAGTTTTCTAGTTGGCTTCCCAAGAAACATTTGTTCTCTAAGTAGATCTCACTTAAATTTTCTGTTCTGTTGTCATTTCTGGTGTCACTGTTGATTGTCAATTGTATAAATTCTTGTATTATTATTATTATTATTATTATTATTATTAAAAAATGGTCATGATGTGATGTCATCACGACCATATTTGGGCATGTCACATGTTCTTGTCCCTGAGCATGGGCTATACAAGAATCATATTATTTTTCCTGATTTTTGTTTAAAAGGTAACAATGGTTCCTGTAGTTTAATGTTACCCAATAATGCCCTCAAAACTTCACAATAGTTGCATATTATTAACTTACTGAATTATATAAGTTGAAGTGCAATATTACACATACATAGCTGAAACCTTGGTGGTATAAAACATGATATAAAAAATAAAAAAACTTACCATAAATTTTTTGATGTACAGTGAAAATATAATATTCAGTTTTCGCCTGCAAAAAATGTCAATTAGAAATAATGAACAACCCATTATTTTTGTCTGATTTATTTGTTCAAACAAATCATGTCTTCCAGATTTTAATCACAGACTCTACTCAAATGATTATTTATTTGTTTTTAATGAAGATGAATATACACATTCTGGTACTAGAAGTATTGGTATTAGTGACCATTCATTGATTTACATTCTTAGAAAAAACAAGAAAATTAAAAATTAACCAAAAACTATAAATATCCGAAAAACATAAATTTATTGAAACGATTAAAAATTTAAACTGGAACCCTGTATTACAATCAAACGATGTAAATAAAACCTTAGAAATCTGGAATTATCTCTTTACAAAAACTTGCAACTTGCATGCTCCTTTCAAAATTGAACAAATAAAGGGTTTTAGGACTGAATGGATTAACCCAGAGACTACTACTTTTCTAGAGCTCACAAAACAAATAATACCCTTTATTGGGCAAAAGCTAAAGAACTTAGGAATAGAGCAAATAATATGAATAATATCTTTAAAAAAAATATTGCTCAAAGGCTATTAATGAAAATGTGGAAAACTATAAAAAATATTACTGGTAATGACAAAAAAGAACCAATCAGTTCTATTATATCTGGGAATGAAATAATCTCTGATGAATTTGAAATTGCCAACAAATTTAACTCTTATTTCTCTTCCATTGGCGAGCCCTTAGCACAACAACTTGATAATAACTTATCCCATCTAACTATACTAACAATTTTGACTTTTATAATCGATTTAATTTTGATTTAATTTCACCTGAAGAAGTCTTTGATAATAAAGCTTCTGGTGTTGATGAACTTGATCTAAATTTATTTAAGATTGCTTCCCCCATTATTTGCCAATCATGCTATTGCTCATATAATAAATCTGTCTTTAACTACAGCAACTTTCCCATCAGTATGGAAAATTGCCAAAGTTACTCCTGTATCTAAAAGTAGTGACAGACTAAACACTGAAAATAATAGACTGATTTCTGTTTTACATACTATCTAAAATCATTGAAAAATTTGTTTATAATCAACTTTACTCTTTTTTTAACACATAAAAATATAATTACCAATCCGGTTTTAGGCCATTTCATTCTATACTGCACTTATTGATGTTTCTGAACACATTCCTAATAATCTTAACAACGGCAAAGTTACTGCTGCTATTTTCTTTGACTTAAAGAAGGCTTTTGACACCTTTAACCATACTATTTTAATTAACAAATTTAACCATACTATTTTAATTAACAAATTTAAACAATATGGAATCAGAGGCACTACTTTAATGGTTTTCATCATACCTTTCTGGACGATACCTTTCTGGACGATGTTAAAATTAAATCCAAATTATCAGATCCTAAAGATATCACTATTGGTGCCCCTCAAGGATCAATTCTTGGCCCCTTTCTTTTTATTATATATGCCTGAAATGATCACTCCCGATCCAAAATGTGTAATTTTTGCAGATGATAAAGTGTTCTTTGTTCTGTCTCTGATCCAAACGTATTACAATCTATCATTGACAAAAATGTAGCCAATATATCTAAATGATTTAATATAAATAAATTAACAATTAATTTTATTAAAACAAAATTTATGGTATTTTGTTTAAAATTCAATTTCTCAAAATTTTCAAATATTTCCTTATCAATAAACAGTCATGTAATTGATAGAGTTGATAATTTTAAATACTTAGGAATTACCTTTGATACTTTCTTTACATGGAATAATCATATTGAGAATTTTTGTTACAAAATTTCTCAATGCATTGGTGTTATTCGTAGGTTAAGATATTCTTTACCAAATTCTTCTCTTAGACTTTTAGCAAATTCTTTTGTATTACCTTTTTTCAATTATTTTAGTACTGTATGGTGATATGATTTTGAAAAGAGAACTTTTAAATATCGTTCTCTTAAATTATGGAATAATCTTTCATCAGACCTTCGTAGCAATATTCATCCACTTTCCTTACAATCCTTAAAAAAACCTCATTTAATTTCCCCTTTTGTTTTTATTTTCTGTTTTTTAAATTTATGTATTC